CCCAAGCCACTCTCCATCCTCTTGCGTGGGTCTCTGTGTCTAGGCTCACAGACATGTCACCACACTCAGCACAGACCGTTTTAAGTGACCAGGGCGGCTGTCTTGTGACTGCCAATCTTTCGGATTGTCCAGAGGGGTTCCTCTAGCATCTTTTAACTTGTCCTGTATCTTCCTGTATTTTTTTCTAGTCTGAAAAGTAGAACTCATAAGTTTAACTGGTAACAGTTTTGCCAAGAATATGTCATGGGTGCTACTTGGCACTTCCTAACACATTCCACTAGGAATACAAAATATTGTCTTTTCTTTTTCTGAATGTGTGCTATTAGGGATTGAATGAGGGTCTTGCTCATGTGAGGAAAACAATCTGTAGCTATCTTTAAAAAAAAAAGCAAAACTATTTTTTTTTTTTGAGACAGGGTTTCTCTGTGTAGCTTTGCACCTTTCCTGGATCTCACTCTGTAGACCAGGCTGGCCTTGAACTCAGAGATCCACCTGGCTCTGCCTCCCGAGTGCTGGGATTAAAGGTGTGCCACCATCCACCACCCCGTTGCAAAACTATCTTAATATAGGCTTTTGCCAGGGGTGTGCCTAAGCCTCCAGAGTACCTGGGACCACAGCTTGCACCACGATGCCAGGCTAAACTGTTCTAATGTTAGTAATGTTAAGTTCTATCGGTTGGTTAAAATGACGACTGCCAATTAGCCTTCTCCAACAGAAACTTAAAACCCCAAGGAAGTTTTCTGGGTCCTTTAAAAAAATTTAAAGATTTTGTTTGATGTGTTTGACTGTTTTGCCTGCACATATTTTTGTGTATAACATGTGTGCCCGGTGCCCTCAGAGGTCAGAAGAGGGCATTCGATCCCCTGGGACTGGAGTTATGGATGGTTGTGGCCAACCATGTGGGTGCTGGGAAATAAACTCAGGTCCTCTGCAAAAGCAGGAACTGCTCTTAATGGCTAAGCCATCTCTCCAGCCCCATGTTTTCTGACGTTTTATAAAATCAAACATAAACTGGCTATATAAACCAATAATTCTATATCTCACTATTCTCCTCCAGAGCAGTAAGACTTGTGGTCATACAGACACAAGTTCTTGTATGTGGCACTATAGTAGCTTTAATTCTTGAAAGATTAATATTTAATTGGGGCTAGAAGAGCATTGCAATGTACAAATACATGTCACAGTAAAGCACACTTGTATTCAAAAAGGGTGAGGCAAGGAGAATTTTATTTTTGAATCAGGGTCTTGGTATATAACTCCAAATTGACATGGAACTAGTAATCCTCCTGTCTCAGCTTCCTGGGATTTCACTTCCCGGGATTTGTGCCACCAAGCTTGCGACAAGAGGAATATATAGGGGTGAAATGCAAAGGATTACATGAAGTATTCTGGGACTATAATCGCTGTCTACAAGTGTCTATTGTATGATGGCTTCGGTCTGAGATTAAACAGACCGGTGCTGGGCTAACATCCGCACTGGGGTATCAGCTGGAAGGTATAGTGGCCTTTGTGTACCGCTGTGCTTGCAGAAGTCTTCTGTGAACAGTTCTCGCTCTCCAGCCTATGCAAATGGGATTCTCTCCCTCATAACCTCTCAGCTTTGTTTATTCCTTATGAAGGAAGGCTTGACAAAAGTGACTGTAAAGCCAGGCGGCGCACGCCTTTAATCCCAGCACTCGGGAGGCAGAGGCAGGCGGATCTCTGTGAGTTCGAGGCCAGCCTGGTCTACAGAGTGAGTTCCAGGAAAGGTGCAAAGCTACACAGAGAAACCCAGTCTCGAAGAAAAAAAAAAAAAAGCACTTGAAAAAAAAAAAAAGTGACTGTAATTCTGACAACTTTTACAATATCATTTTAAACATTTTTAACCTTGATTTTTATTTTTTATGTGTATGAGTATTTTGCCTCTACCTATTTCTGTGTACCTCCTGTATGCAGTGCCTGAGGAGGCCAGGTATTGGATCTCCTGGTATTGGTATTACAGATTGCTGTGAGCTCCCAATGGGTGCTGGGAATTGAACCTGGGTCTTCTAGAAGAGCAACTAGTGCTCTTAACCGTATAATATCAATGTTTAAATTTCATTTTGAGAGGTGGAAGTTTCTAGTGATTGTTTTCCTGGTATTAAAGAACCTGGAAAACTGTTACTCAGAAGGATTCTGGGTAAAAGGAGAACCAGAATAAAGGGAAGTGGAGGAGAATTTCATCATGTTCACAGGGAAGTTTTATGAATGGAAAAGAGTCTGTTTGTTGCCTAATTAACATCAATCCCTCCTCCTCCTGTCTCCTTTTCAAGTACCACATTCTGGTGCTTTAAAGCACCTTCCTCCACAAAGCCATATGCTATACCAAACCAGTTACGTTTCTCTCCCACCCCCGGCCTAGGGACGGGCTCAGGAAGGGAGCTGTAACTCAGTTCAAACCAATGGACTCTGAAGGAAAGCCTCCAAAGAGACTTCTAGAAAACGGTCCCTTTGTTAGCAGGAGAGATGGCGCTTCTTCCTCTGCCTGAGGTACCTCCATGTGGGGTTGCAAAGTGCGGCAGGCAGCCACCTGGCCATGAGCCTGGGACAACACTCACACAGACAGGCGCGTCTGCAGAGTTAGCCGTGGAGCTGAAGCCCTGTAGCGCTGGGCATGAACTCTCCCCTCACTGTCCCTGCTGTTTGAGCCGGCTGAGGTGGGCTTTTCTGATACAACACATCTGAATGCCGTAACGGAATGTGTACTCCACATTTTTTTTCTAAGTGCTGGGATCAAACCAAATTCACAAGGGCCTTGTGAATGCTTCTCCTCCACTAAGTCCTAGTATTTGTTTCCGAGGGTGGCAACATTGGGTCTACCTAAAGACTGGCCAAGGGGATTGAACCCAGGCTGGCAGGCTGGGCCACGCGCTTTTATACGGAATCATCTCCCTAGCCTGACCCCAATAACAGAGATCTTTTTTTATTTTTATTTTTGGACTTCCTTTTTGCATTTGCTGTATTCCATCCCCCCAATCTTGTTAGCTTATTCTTGTCTGGGTTCAAAGCCCAATTTTATTCCTTTTTCCTTTCTTCTCTGCCTGCCTTCCCTACATCTTTTTTCCCTTGCTACAGTCTCACTATGTAGCCTTGGCTGGCCTGGAACTCACTCTGTAGACCAGGCTGTGATGTTATGAACTCACAGAGACCTACCTGCCTGCCTGTGCCAGGTTTTAAAGGAATCTTTCTCTTTCTTGATCTGGACTTTTTCTTTCTTTTCTTTTCTTTTCTTTTTTTTTTTCTTCTGAGACAGGGTTTCTCTGTACAGCCCTAGCTGTCTTGGAACTCTTTCTATAGCCCATGCTGGCCTCAAACTCAGAGATCTACCTGCCTCTGCCTTCTGAGTGCTGGGATTAAAGGCAGAGCCACCACTGCCCAGCTTTGATCTGGACTTTTTGATCTACAACTTTAGGACCATCCAATTATATTGTGTCCTTTTTTTATTCCTATCTTTTTTTTAAAGATTTATTTATTTATTATGTATACAGTGTTCTGTCTGTATGTATACCTGAACACCAGAAGAGGGTACCAATTCTGATTACAGATGGTTGTGAGCCATCATATGGTTGCTGGGAATTGAACTCAGGACCTCTGGAAGAACAGTCAGTGCTCTTAACCTCTGAGCCATCTTTCCAACCCTTTTGTTCTATTTTTAAAAATAATTTCTTTCGTTTTATTTCATGTGTGTGGGTGTTCTGCTCTGCACGGAACACTTGTGTACCACATGTGTGTGGTGCCCAAGGAGGCTCTCAGATTTGCTGGGACTGGATGGAGTTCAGGCAGTTGTGAGCTGCACTGCAGTTGCTGGGAACTAAATCTGAGTCCTCTGCAAAAGGAACAAGTGCTCTTAACAGCTGAGCCATCTTTCCATGTTTAACTTTTTTGGGGGGTGGGGTGGGGTGGGGCGGTGTTGAGACAGGGTTTTTCTGTGTAGCCGTTGCTGTCCTAGAACTTGCTATGTAGACCAGGTTGGCCTCCAACTCACAGAGATCCACCTGCCTCTGCTTCCCAAGTGCTGAATAAAAGATATTCTGAATAACTGAAACAATAAGTATTTAGAATTGTGCAAGTTACATACTATTATCTTATTTAAAAATAAAGGATAAAAACTAAGCTAGACGTCTCTTTCATCATTGCCTCTCTCTTTCTTTTTTAGTTGCAACCATTATCAGTGTTTTCAGGACCATTTTTCAGTGCTCTCCTTATATATTTTATTTATTGTATCTACATATATACCTATTTTTGTTTAAAAAAAACCCGACACTTCCTCATTTTTATCTTAAGAAAATAAGAATGACCCTTAGGGGAGACATACTGCGACATTTGTTGAAGGAAATCAGAGTGAACAATCATTTATTAAAGTCTCCTATGGATTGGTTCTTCCTCCCTCCCTCCCTCTCTCCCTCTTTCTTTCTTTCTTTCTCTCTTTTCTTTTTTTTTCGAGACAGGGTTTCTCTGTGTAGCTTTGGTGCCTGTCCTGGAACTTCGTCGCCCAGGCTGGCCTCGAACTCACAGAGATCCGCCTGCCTCTGCCTCCGGAGTGCTGGGACTAAAGGCGTGACAGGATTAAAGGCGTGCGCCACCACCGCCCAGCGGACTGCTTCATTTTTGACTTATTTTTTTAATTTGCACTTTAGAATTGAAGAAACGCACTGGTCTCAGAGAACCAAACAAAATACCTACTTAGATGTGAAACCCTGCGCGTAGCCTGAAGGTTTTGGTATTTCAGTTCTGAGGCTCCTTTCGGATACTGGGCTCCCGCACGGTATTTAGGAGAGGTATCTTCGGAGCTCCAGAAAGGCACCCACCGTTTCAAAGAACGAGGGGCCAGCGGGGTAGCAAAGCGAGAACCACACCACGGCCGAGCGCCCGGCGGCCGGCACAGACTACGCCTGCGCGTGGGTGGGTGGGTGGGCGGAGCCTCGGACCCGGCAGTGCGCCTGCGCGCAGCACGCAACGGGGGGGAGGGAGGCCCGTGCGTGCGTGCGTGTGTGTCTGTGTGTGTGTGTGTGTGTGTGCGTGCGTGTGTGTGTCTGTGTTGTTGTTCCGCGGCGGCGGCGGCGGCGGCGGCGGTAAGATGGCTGCCCACGGGGGCTCCGCGGCGTCGTCGGCGCTGAAGGGGTTAATCCAGCAGTTCACGGCCATCACCGGTAAGAGATGCGGGTACGGGAAGGTGCCGAGCGGCGGGGAGCGGGAGGCTGTCGGGGCCGATCCCCCCGCCCCGGCCTCACCTCACCTTCGTGCCTCCCTCCCTCGGGCGCTCCTGTCCTCTCTCCGGAGGAACCGGCGACGACGGCGTCCGGGGTCTGCGGCTCGGGCGGGAGGCTGCTCCCCGCGCCCCAGTCCCGCGCTTCCCCCCCTAGCCCCTCGGTCCGGTCTCCTCTCGGTGCCTTCGTCAGGGCCCCCACGCCCCCTGCCCGCCCGGATCCGGGGATGGGCCGAGTCCGCCGTCCCCGCGGCCGGGGACCCGCGGGCGGGAGGAGTAGGGGGCCGCACCCGGGCCACCGCCCTCTTCCTCCTTCATCCCCTTCTGGGGGGGACCCGTGCGGCCGGCGGACCAGGGGGTGCCGTGCGTCCCCTCACGCCGTCCTCTCTTCCCGGCCAGGTCATCGTCCCTCCGCCCCTGCCTGCCCTCCCCCTCGCCGGGCCCCCCGGAGCCTCGGCGGTGGCCCTGGCGAGCGAGGGCCTTCTCGCCTTAACGGCGAGGCCGGGGGGTTCGGCCGCGCCTTCACATATCCCGGGGGACTTGCCGCCAGGAACGAGGGGTGCGGAGGGGTACCTTACGGACGGAGGGTTTAAGATAGGAATCAGAGGGGGGAACCCCTAAGCTTAATGGGGGGCGGGAGGCCTAGAGTAATCCTGGGTGGCCTTTTCCACATCCTCATAATAAAATCAAAGATCGAGACGATGGCGCCTGAGCGTTTGCTGATAAAATAGGGATGGCGGCAGAAACTTCTTGCAGAGAAATCTGTTTCTGGGTGCCAGTATCCGCGAAACCTTAGGCCTAGGTTTTTCTTTCCCTCCGGACCCCGACGAAGGGCAGACGCAGGTTCTCTTAGCGCGGAGGAAAGGCTCTAAGCCGTTCTATGAAGGCGCTGTGTCTTGTTTCTCTCTGATGGTGCTCAACTTTTTTTTGCATGAGTTATTAGAGGGCGGAGCAAATGATGAAGTTCTCTGTGGAGTGATTTGAGAGAGGAGTACTCCATGTGCCTGAGTGTGATTTTGCTGTTCTAGTTTGTCATTTGGAAAAGAGGTCAGAAAGTTAGTTCTCGCTCTCAGCAGGGCTATCTTTTCTTTGGTGATAATTTGTTAGATGTGGAGAATATTTCTGGTTTATGTTTGACGTGTCAGATCTGTAAGACATGGTATTTTTAACCAGTACACGTTGTTTGCAGTTTTAAAATTGAAACTAGTTTTGTTTTTTGATCTGAAACGATAATTAGGTGGTTGATGCATTGTTTTTTGTCTTGTCACATGAAGTATATCAAAGCTGGTAAAATAAGATTTTTAATAAAATTGAGGTGAAAAGTAAGATAACTGAAAATATTGTTAAGCTTTGTGGTCAGATTATTGTAATTCTATATGGATTTCCTGGTGTCCAACATTATGGAAAGAAATTAGATTTCTGTGTATAGATGTTAATACTGCTGCATTGTTTGCATAGAAAAATCTATCGAGTCACACAGAGAAATATTACTAATCTTTCTCTGGGTTTCCTAGAGATAGTTTAAGGTATCACTGTTTAATTTTAGGTTATTGGGCAGATTGCTACCATTTCATTTTCTTCTTTCAGAAACTCAATTGTCGTCCCCCCCTTCAAAAGGGTTTCTCTGTGTTGTTTTGGTGCCTGTACTGGATCTCAGCTCTGTAGACCAGGTTGGCCTCGAACTCACAGATCTGCCTGCCTCTGCCTCCCGAGGGCTGGGATTAAAGGCCTGCGCCAACCACCGTCCAGCGAGAAACTTAATTGTTTTAACCTCACATTGTTTCTTGTGCAACATTTTCAAAACATATACATAGAAACCAGAATATGCTAAAATAAATAAGACTCAATTGCTTTAATACTATTTTTGTCTGCCAGTCTTGTTTCTAGCCTAAGCCTCTGTGTTGCTGGATCATATTGGAGTCCCCTGGTACATAGTGGTTTCTGAAAGTCTACAGAAGAAAAAATTCCTTTTGTGGGGCAGGTTCTGACTTTATAGTTCAGACTGGCTTGAATTCTCTTGCCTTGGCCTTTGTCTGCTGCATTTACAGGCATAAGCCACTAGGCCTGGCTCTTTAGACTATTAATTTCTTTCTTTTTTCTTTTCTTTTTTGTGCTGAGGATTAAACTCAAGGTATTGAATATGTTAAGTACCCACTGCCACTGAGCTGTACTCAAAGCCCCCTAAAAGTTACAAATATTTTGGGGGAGTCATTCGTGGGGAGTGAATGCTGAATGCTGTTATGCTTCTGAGCTACAATGTCAACCAGACTATAGACTAATTTATTTTTTCCCTTTTTTCTTTTTTTCTTTTTTTTTTAAGATTTATTTATTTATTATGTGTACAGAAGAGGGTGCCAGATCTCATTACAGATGGTAGTGAGCCACCATGTGGTTGCTGGGAATTGAACTCAGGACCTCTGGAAGAGCAGTTGGTGCTCTTAACCACTGAGCCATCTCTCCAGCCCCTTTTTTTCTTTTTTTGAGACAGAGTCTCACCATATATCTCCTGACTTAGGTGGATTAGGCTGGCATTCAACAGAGAGATCTGCCTGCTTCTGCCTCTGTTTCACCAGAGTTGTACACCAGCCAGGCTTTGAATTTCTATGGATGAATTTTAGGACTCTTTAGAAGATTGTGATGAACTATTTGAAACTTGATTAAACCTGATGTAGTGATATGCAATTAGTTCTACTTAGGTTGAGGCAGGAAATCTTTGTTTTGTTTTGTTTTTGAGTCAGTCTCTTTGTCAAGTCCTGGATATCCTGGAACTCATTATATAGACCAGGCTGGCCTTAAACTCACAGAGACCCTTCTGCCTCTGCCTCCAAGTGCTGGAGTCGAAGGTTTGTGCCACCATGTCCAGCTTGAGGAAGATCTTGATCCTGTGTGACATAGTGAGACCCCTTCTTAAGAAAAAAGAAGGCAGGCCCACGTGATGGCTTACAACCATCTATAACTCCAGTCTAAGGGAATCCAACACCCTCTTCTGGCCTCTGATGGGACCAGGAATGTATATGTTTTGTGAGCAGACATACATATAGACAAAACATTCATACACATAAATTAAAAATGAATAAATCTTCAAAAATTATTCAAACGATTATGACACTATGAAGTAGTTTTTGGGAAAAATGGAAGGCATTACTTCTCCAGTATCACCACAGCAGTATTATGTATTTTACGTATTCTTCCTCACTGTGTATCCCAGCCTGGCCTGGTACTTATAGTCATGCTGCTTCTTCCTCTCAAGTCTGGGACAAATGCTTTATATACGTTTAAATATTTGACGCTGTACACTATGGATCATGGTATATGTATGTAATACAGATTCCAGACAACTTCACTTAACAATTACATCTTAAATAGTTTGGCAGTCTTTGATGTGAACTTATGAAGAGGCTACCTTCGTGTCTAAGGCTAGGTAAGAAAACTAGGGTGAGTGAGATGGCTCAGCAGGTAAAAGGTGCCTACTTACCTTTCCATTCCCTACATGGTGGATGGGAGAGGAGCTCTCCTCTGTGTACACCACTGTGCACAAGTGAGCGGATACACACCCACACCCCCCTTCACATTCTTTCTCTAAATGAGGTAAAAAAGAGAAAAGTAAGAAAATTAGTCCTACTAAATTTTGTTATTTTTGTTTTGAGACAGGGTTTTGTGTAGCCTAGGCTGGCCTCAAATGCATCACAAGGACATTATCTTGAACTCCTACTTTTCCTGTCTTCACTTCCCAAATGTTGGAATTAGGGTTGTGTGCTACCACAACTAATTTATGCCATGTTGGTACTTGAACCAGGCTTTTGTGCATGCTTGAGAATCACTGACAATTGATATACATCCTCTACCCCCCCCCCCCCCAGGCAGGGTTTCTCTGTAGTTTTGCGCCTTTCTTGGAACTCACTTGGTAGTCCAGGCTGGCCTCTAACTCACAGAGATCCCCCTGCCTCTGCCTCCCGAGTGCTGGGATTAAAGGTGGTTGCCACCACCGCCCGGCAACATCCTCTATCCTTGATATTTAAAATAATAAAGCCAGACATAGTGGCACATACTTATAATCTCAGCATTTGTTCATGGCTGCCTTCTGTTATGTAGTGAGTTCAAGGTCACTCTGGGCCGAATAAAACCCTCAAGAAAACCAACAAACCAAAAAATAAAAGACCAGGTGAAAATACTAGCAATCAACAAATAAGGATAAATGAGCCTGGAGGTGGTGGCGCTCACCTTTAATCCCAGCACTCGGGAGGCAGGGCAGGTAGAGCTCTGAGTTCCAGGCCAGCCTGGTCTACAGAGTGTGTTCCAGGGCAGCCTGGGCTACACAGAGACACCCTAAGTTGAACACCCCCTTAAAGGAAAGAAAAAAGTTCAGTGCTGCATAGTGAGACTTGTCTTTAAAAAGGGCTTGGAGGGTTCTCTTCCAGAGAACCTGGGTTTTATTCCCAGCACTCACCTGTCACTTATGGCTGGCTATCTGTAACTCCAGTTCCACAGGATCTGACACTCTTCTGACCCTTTAAGGCACTAAGCATGCACATGGTACACAGACATGCATACAGGCAAAACACCCCATACATACAAGTTTTTTTGTTTTTGTTTTTGTTTTTGAGACAGAGTCTCTATATAGCCTTTGCAATCCTGGAACTCACTATGTAGACCAGGCTGTCTTTCAGCATCACAAGGATCTACCTGCCTCTGCTTCAAAAGTGCTGGGATTAAAGTCATGTGTCACCATGCCCAGCCCTGTAATAAACTTAAAAAACTGGAGGCTGAGAAGAATGTAAGAAGCTTTTAAAATTATTTACTTATGTATGTTTATGTACATGCCTGTATTTGTGTCTGGAAGGCAGAAGAGGGTGTCACGATTCCCCTGGGGCTCAAGTTAGGTTGTTGTGAGACTCATGATATGTATGGGTGGTGGGAACCAAACTCCAGTTCTCTGCAAGAGAG